ATTTCAGAAAATTCAGCCTTCCAAACTTTATGGGAAAATATAAGTGCTTCCCTCCTCTTTACTAGAGAAGAACAGATTCTCAATATCTGTATTCCATATAATTATCACTGAGGTAAATATTTTACAAGATGACACATATCTTCTTCTAAACTGGTGTTTGAATTATTGCTTCCAGTCCAATAACTATATTTTTTTAAAATTTGGAAAGTCTTGTTTGATCAGAGAATATCTTCAGTAAACAACAACAAAATAGATAGAGCAAAAGGACTGTTTATTAAAAAGAACTACAAATATGGCTAATGTATGCTGACAAGAAACAGAGGAACATGTCAGGATAGATGAAGAATAAGAGAACTGAAAATAGGCTAAAATCCAGGGAGTCTATCCTGAGCCTATGCACAAAATTCTAAGTAGGAACTGGGGTTTGGAAACCAGCTAGTAAATGAGATAAAATTGTCTGCCTCTCTAATAAAACTGTTGAGAAAGAGTTTTAAAATCACACATCAAAATTGGTTTTTAATATATGTTCTGAGAAAACAAGTAATAACAATATGTAAAGGAAAACACATTATTGAGAAACTAGCAGTACCTTGCTCTATACTTGGGCTAATAGAGATGATAGGAATTGAAAATAGCAGAGGTCAAGTGGTGGTACTTAACTCTCAGAGCCAAAGTGAAGACAATTTGGAAGATTCTGGACACAATGGCAACTGGGTGGCTTTCCCTTTACTGACAGAAATGTATGTCTTCTGATAATATATCATGCTATTTTAAGCTTGAGACAGATCAACATGAACTCTATCCTAGTGTGTTACTTGACATGTGTGCCTGAAAAACAGAAAGAACAATTAAAGTGTTAAAGTCACTCATCATAGTAGAAAATTATAATTTGTTATGAAAGTTGAAGAATTGCCTCAGTTCTGAAATCCAAAGCACACCGACTGCAAGGAAGACTGACGTTGAATCATGTATTTAATTCCTTCTTTCTGTAAGGGAACCTGTACGTATTTTCTACACTGTTACTCTTGAGGCAAAGGCAATCTCTGAGTATTTTGAATACTCTTGGTACAGAATTTTTAGTTAGGACTCTAAAATATTTCTATGACTCTATACCCTCTTTATAACTGGAGAACATCAAGGCTCTGTAATGATAGGATCTTGGTGTGAACACATTTAAAAACTATCCAAACTTCAAGTCTATTTTCTGTGTACAGAATGAAGATTGTGGTGCTTAGCTTTCAGCATTCCTCTTTATTGCTTTTTATGGTGGAGATATGATAGGGCAAGCTTGTGAAAGCCCCATTACCCTAATTCTGACCATGACAATAAATCAGAAATGATGCATTTAATTAAAAAATATTATTCTGTAATTTGCATAACCTTCAATGTCTTAAGTATACAGGAGCTGTATCTACTATATCTCTCTTTAAATCACAAACCTGACCCATTAAAACAAAACCAAATGCATCATCGTGATTTGGTTTTGATTAATTAATAATATGGGAGGGCCTAGCCCATTGTGGGTGGTTCAATCCCTGGGCAAGTAGTCCTAAGTTTATAAGAAAGCAGGCTAAGCAAGTCAAGAGGGACAAGCCAGTAAGCACTCCTCTATAGCCTCTGCACCATATCCTGCCTCCATGTTCCTCCCACTTGACTTTCTGGGGTAATGGACTACAAGTTGCAAAATGAAATAAACACTTTCCTCCCCCAAGTTGCTTTTGTCATGGTGGCTTATCACAGTAATAGAAACCCTAAGACACAACAATTCTCCTTTTATTTAAATTAACATTGATTAAATTATTATTATTCCATTCATCTGAATTAATGGAATTTCCCCCAATATGTCAATTTATTTCACCTACTATTATTTTCTAGTAATTTCCACAGACCGATTCCAAAATTATACACATACTCAAAATTATACATATACTCAAAAGGCTGTATTTTGATAATATTTAGGCACTAATCCTGGTTTCTGGGATCAGAAATGTCCAAAACCAATGCTTTGACAGGGAATTAATGACTCCAGATATCTGATTGACTCCATCTATTCTCCTCAAACTATTTTTAGAAATTTTGCTCTTGTTAATGGAGAAGTGATTATTGCATTTAGTCTATAGATGCTAGTAAAGAATGATGATGAAACAAATCACTAGATTAATTGTATCAAGCTGTTGTTTCTTTTTAATTTCAGGTTGGTGTGTTCATGCTACTCAATTCTTTACAAACTGAAAAACAAAAAAACAAAACCAACACATTAATTCCCTCTTAACTGCCCCCATTTAATTTAAAGTGCAATACAAATAATGAGAAATGTTTAAGTTGCTTTTACCTTTTAAATTGGTGTTTGACTTAATGAAAATTAATAGCTTTGAAACTGAGAGTCTCTTAGAAAATTAAGCTATGCCCTGTTGATATACAACACATTTAGATGCATTAAAGTTACTTTAAATGTACATTGCATTTCTTTCTGATATTGGTTGAAGTTGTAGCAAATAAAATGGGAGTATGTCAAACAATTTCTTTGAACTTTGCTTTTCCCAAGATCATCTGCACTGATGCTGATGGGTGATACGCCATTGGGTAAATTTATTCATATTTTATTCAACCACTGACTGTGGGGTGATCAGCCCCAATTGATACATCTACAACACAACCCTTATACCTAAATTTCAGGAACACAGAATAAAAAGACAAGAAAGACTATGGAACCAGAGGACCAGGAATTCTCCTGTGTCTTCAAGTTATAACAGGAAGCTGCCATGAAATTGCAATAATATGGCTGCCTAAAAAGACCTGAGCAATAATAACACCAGTTGACATGACAACATAAATGGCAGGACTCTAACAGGGCCCCACCCCAGGTGAGTAATGATTACTGAGAGAGGGAGAATTAGTCTTTCTTAGGGATGAGCTTCCTAATTAGATATCCATTATCTGGTGGTCAGCACTAAAATTACATACATACAAGCA